AAAATTAAAATTATTTTTAATATTATTAGCTAATGAACATCCAAGTAGACAAACACTTTAAAATTATTTTAGATCTATCAAATCATTAGGTAAGTATTTCATGATAAATAAATACCTACTTAACTTCTTATATTTATAGGTAGGTATCTATTTATATTGAGCCATTGAGATTATTATTAATTTCAATTTTTTTTMAAATTTAAATTTGTTATGTAATTGTATGTAGAAAAAATAATCATCTTGTTACACAATTATAAGTTCCAATAATTACATTTTTAATCATTATAAACAAAGTAAAAATGTACCAACAAAAACAAAACTGTATATTGGTTTAACTTCTTTTTTAAAACTGTTAATAGTCTAACCACTATATTAATAAGTGACCTATATTTACAGGTATTCAATTTATACAATTAAACGTTTCATTTAATTTATTAGCGTGTTCTATAATATGTTGAATGTATTAATTTATTAATCTAATGTAATTGTTTAGTTTTTTTGGAGTTGCAAATAAACCTCAAATTATTTCTAACACAAAACTAAAATGCCAATTTTGCAAATTGATACAAATTTATCAATGACTAATGTGCCATTTGATTTTTCGGTCAAAACTTGTGAACTAATGGCAGAAGTATTTAAATCACCACTAAACGTAAGATAATAAAATGTTAAAAAAATATAGTAAAAAATTTTATACTTGGAACCACTTAAAAATCTCAATTTTCGACAATTATGTTATAGTATACAAAATAAAATAATTAAAAATAATAAAATGTTAAAAAAATATATTTAATATACTTTTAAATTAATATTCTTTAAAACTAAGTTCTGGTATGGTGATAAAATGACATATTGATTTGTATTTTGAGGATTGTTTTTGATGGAAAACCACACAAGAGCACCTGGGGAAAACTTTAACATTTTAACTCTTTAACAACAAGTTTACTTGAAGAGAGGGGGTAATTAACACTTGTAATATACTGACATACTGTATGTTTTCACTGTTAATATCTTACTACTTTTGTAGAGTTAAATAAATAAATAACAATATAATATGATATAAAACTTCTTAAAATAAATTAATTGTTTTGATAAAAATATATATTATCATAAATGGTATGTATTAACAAATTATGATTTAGTTGATAAATTACCAATTAAAAAAAAAAATAAAAATGATAACATGTAACCATAATAATAAAAAATATATATGAAAATAAAATTTTGAAGGTTAAATATGGGGGTTAATTTAACATTTAAATCATAGGGTAAATTTACAGCAGATTTATACATAAATACATTATTATAACACAATACATAAAATGTAAATTATGTAGGTATAACTAATAAATATTGTTAAAAATGTGAAATATTTATTTAATACCTATTTTAATTTGTGCTTTTAATTTTTCTATTATAGTTTTGCGTTGTGCACATAAATCCTGATCAAGAGATATATTGGTATGGGCTAGATGGCCCATGTGTCTTAGGAACATTAAAAATAGTAAACGGTTCTGGAACAATCAGCTCTGAACAAAATATTGGACATGCTGAAAAACTTGTTAAACACATCAGTGATAATTTAAAACTACCCAATAAGAAGTATAAACATAATTATACAATCATTATTCATTAAAATACAATATTTCAAATTTATAACAAGAATATTATTTCATTATTTCAGTATATCAATATCATTTGTCGAACAAGATGCAGAAAATGTTACAATATTTAATACTACTGTATCAAACTTTTTACAAAATAAAAATTAAATATTATTTACACAGTATAAAGATATAGATGATGTCTTCAAATTAATTGATCATTTAAAAGAAATCTACAGCTCTTGAACGTTTAGAAACATTGATATTCAATAAGTTATCAGTAAGGTTTTTAGGTACTTCATATTGTTTTTTCTGATAAGTAGGGGTAGATTTTTTAATATTGCTTGTTAATCCAGAAATTGAAGGAGATCCAGATGGAGTTGTATGTGGTGATGGACTGTAAGATGCTCTTAATGCAGCATCTCTTCTTCTATCACTACTTAAACGGTTGCATACAAGTCTTTGAGCTGCTGGTGACATAGAATTCAATCGATCCAATGGACTATTCATTAAATTAGAAGGCGATGGTCTAAAATATTATAAATAAAATAAATAAATAGGTTAAATAATACATACAAATGAAAAATAAAAATAAAATCCTTACGTAGATAACTGTTTTCGGGCTGTTTCTAGAGCTTTAATTTTTTTATTTCTATGACCTTCACTAGCTTTTTCAGCAAGTGCGTGTGCTAATCTTTCACGTTTGGGTTGTTCAGGTATTTTGAAAATAGGACCAGAGTTATGAGGAGTCAGTGGAGTATCACCACCATCTAAACGGAATGGAGTACCTTCAATTTCTCCCCAGGTCATCAGTGGGCTTTGATTTACACCAGGAGCGGGAGATGGAGTTTTGACAAATCCATATCCATTAATTTTAGGAGTAGAAGATGTTAATTCTTTGCCATCAACTCCAATTTTACCATCCAATTGTCTTGTCTGCATGTGTGCTAAACTACATAGTTGTTGTTTGTTATGTCTTTCATCAAATGGGTTTAATTTGAGTCTTGTGTTAGAATGGTCAATTTTTTGTCGTTTGGAAGCCATATTAATAAGTTCGTCTTTTGTCAATGTTACTCCATCAGGAACATACATAATATAGTTTTTGTTTTTAAATGCCCATGAATCTAGATTAAATGCACGTTCTGTATTAGATGCTTGACTTTCAATTGAAGGCACTTCAAGTTTATCAACCATTTCTAATGCTTTTTTTTCGCCCTCGAATAACCATGCATTCTAAAAAAAATAAAAGTTTTTAAATTATTTACTTAATTAGATAAAAGTATTTAAAATTCAAAACCTTTTTTTTATATTGAATTTCTGATTCTTTAATGATTTCATTAAAACTATGATTATCTTCACTTGTAGTATTGCTTAAAAATTTGTCCAATCCAATAATTTCTGAAAAATTAATTGTGAAATATAGTTATGAATAATATAACATTATAGCTACATAATATGGAACAATGGAATATTTTAATGATTATTTTGAAGCAATTGATCACAAATTAATAGTTAATAGCTCCAATTAATCTATTTCAGTCATTAGATTGAAATTGTTCTTCTAGGTTAGCATAACCATAGTTTAAGAAATAAGAAGTATGTTCAATGATAAGACTACTCATATTTTTTTAGGGGACAGTTTTAAAATTTGAATATCCAAACAAAAATAAGCTCGGGTAGATATCATATGACAAATGTATACACTATACATATACTAATCATATTCAATTCAGTATGCACATGTGCAAACTAGGACTAAACCACAACTTGTGTTGAACATACTTTTTATTTCTAATGCTATGAATATAACTATTTTAATTTCTAGGAAATACTTATTCGAATTATCTCAACTGTCGGAATATTAACATTTATTCTATTTCACAATTATTATTAACATATTAAAATGTGTTCTATACAATTCTATGTTCTTCTGCTAAAATGTGCAGGGGGTTGTAGAGTGTTAAGCTAAATAACGCTTTGCTTCAAATTCTTAAGTGACAATTTTCACTTTCTCTCATATTTTAGTAGAAAAAATGAACTATATATATACAACAGAAACAAATTTATATAGTCTTGTATCTAAAATCCAATTTTGCAACAGTTGAGATGACGCGAAAATACCCATTAAATTTGCTTAAAAAAGGTAATATTTACTAACCAGTGTCTTTTGATTTGGAATCACCATGTTTCCCATCATCTAAATCTGTAGGATCGATAGTTCTACTGCTCATTGGTCCTTTAGTTGGCTGTGGCGTTTCAAATGTATCTGGGCTAGCATCTGTGGATGAAAAATGAAAATACATATACTATTACTAGTAAGAAAAAATACTAATATTATTGTAGATCATTAGACCATTTAGACCTTTACAAAAAAAAATTGTATTAAAATGAAATAATCAAAACTATTAAACTTTTATTTCATGCAAGGGTTAAGTGTCTTAAAAAAAAATGTATGATTAGATAATGTTGGCGCATAAGGTGACGACAATAATAGTGGACGAGCCTTGTCGCTATATAAAGTATTTAGTGGACTGTGTGATAAATAAATAAGATTAAGAAATAATAAAATAAAACTGCCTGGTTGGCAATATAATCAAATAATAATAAATACAAATAAACAATATATATATATGATGTGCATAAAATAATATAAATGACCACTTGGTCCAATACAATTACAGTAAAAAAAAAAATAATTTAATAAGTCACAGCCAGGTTGACTCCAATTGGAGAAATAGATATAATAAGTGACACAAATGCCGAAGGCAAAATAATTATAATAATAATAATAAATKTATGCCTAAAATGGCTCTGGTAACAATAATAATAATACAATACATCATTCTGCCTCAAAGGCCTTTATAATAGTATAAAAATGGCAAAATATCAATAGTGCCTCAGGTGACCCTCATAAAAATAATACAATATTACAGAGGTAACTAAATTATTGATATTAAATATTGAGCTGCAGCTTACACAACTACAAGATATAATTCACTAACGTGGCCACATAAAACAAACGGTGCCGACACAAGACCACTAGCAAAAAACAAACAAACCCCGTGCAATTCATAAATGCTGGACCAACAGACACTAAGTGCCAAAGTTGTCCTGTTGCTGGTAAAGTGACAACCCTAAGCTAACAAATGATAAAGTTAATAAATGTTCAAACTAGAGTTGCCGAACCATAATTACCAGACAACAGGAACAAGAAACCAGCGTTGATCACAGCAAACACAATAAAAAATAAACCACTATACACGAGGTTTTTGCATGCACGACAAAAAAAAAAGGAACTGTTACTTAATAATAATTTAACTGGGTATTAATATTACCCCTAAAAAGGCCTACAGGACTTATCCAAACGAATTAATAAATAAAAAAAACATAACAGGAATAGCGAATATGGCCAATAATTGTAATCACCATCGCCGCTGCCGATAAAAATGAAGTGCTGCCAACACTAGTGCAACGCAACGGCAACAAGCACTCACAAATTATTGGCACCGCTATACAAACATAAAAACAAAAAATAAACACTAATAACTAATAAGTACACAAAACAGATACAACAACGACGATTAAACAAAATCTGCAGAATTGGAACAATCAGAATTTCAATTTTAATTATACAACAATATATTTAGACTTTTTTGTAGTTTTGAAACAATTTAATAAATAATAAAATTACCTGGTTGTTCAATAAGCAATCGTTTGCTTAAACTATACTTTTCATATATTTCTCTTAATTTCTTTGTATCATTTTGTTGAACTGCATCTAAGTAATCTTTTTGAGCTTTCCATTTTTCTAAATCTGGAAAGAAATCTCTTTCTATAATTTTACCAATACTCTGGAACAGACAAATAAAAATCAATGAAATAAAACTTTGGGTACTTTTCTGTTATCCCTACTACCGCTCGATGCCGCGACTATCGCTTGACGTTTAATTGATATTTTTGATGACTTTTTGTTTTATATTATAATAACTTTCCACTGCTGCAATAATTTTRGAATATGTAATTTGACGTTTTGTGATAATTTTGATGATTTTATGTTTTATACACAATTTAAATTAGTACTATCTTAAATCGTGGTTTTATACTATAACTCTCCACTGCTGAGATAATTTATSTGATTGCTAATTATAAACATTATACTAATATACATTATTACATAAATGGCAATTCATGATGTGTATTAATGTATTATGTACCTATTAAAATACGGAACTATCTGGATAATACTATAGTAGTCTAAATAACAGAATTGAGAGTCGCGATAGTAGGGATAACAGAAAAGTACCAAAACCTTGTAATAGGTACAAGTAAAAATAATTATGATCAGTTTTTAGATGGTTTTAACCATTTCTGGAGAACAGTGAAAAATAAATAAAAAATACATAAAAAATGATCAGTTATAACTTATAGTTAATATCAAATTATGGTAGATAAATTAATTTTGTCACAATTAAATTAATGTTGTATTTATGTTAATAATCAATCTTCAAACATCAAAATTAATCAGTTGTACCAAATACCTCTTTAAGGTGGTGAAATTGTATCACAAAAATTGAGGGTGGGTACTGGGTACCCAAAAGTAAATGGATGAAGTAATACAGTAGTTGCTAATTGGACACAAGGTTAATTGACTCATTTGCCTATTGGACTTAAATGGTATCTTCTTAATTTACACGTATAATAACACACAGATAACATAATATTGTCTATTAGAATCATCATACCGGTAAATGGGGMCAATTGCCAATTAGTTGCAGGACCACTTTTGTATCAAATATCTGAGGACCTTCCTAAAAATGATTTTGTAGCAACAGAAGATTGGTTTCACTGATGGACAATACATGAAAACATTTGTTGGCTAAGCCATATGACCAACATGGAGAAGCAGACTAATGTAGGCGTAAATCAGCGTCGGCCTGGCCATGGCCGCGAACGCATCCGGGTCCCCGGCCGTATTTGTGTCAAGAGGTCCCGATATTACTAAAAATATAATATTTCACTACTTATAAGCATTTTTTATCATTTTTATTTAATAACATGTTTGGGGGCCCTTTAAATACCAGGCCGACACTGGCGTAAATTATCCAAAAATATTAGGAGGATCACCAAAGATTTTTAGAGGACACAAAACCATGAGGAGATTTGCAATGATACTTCTTAATTTCTTATATTCATTACATTTTATATCTTTATCAAGAAGATGTGATAATTGCATGTGTTATCTCAGTCTTACAAGTGCATAACATAACAATTTTTACGCTCTGCAGAACATGTTTAGCTCAGTTAATTTAAAATTTAAAGGTAAGATTATAATCTAGAAAACCTTGTATGCTTTTTATCATATTTTAATTTTAAAGCGAATTACGAGGATTTAAAAATTGCAAATAGTTTTTACATCTTAAAATCTTCATAACTTGCTTTAAAATTAAAATATGATAAAAAGCATATGAAGTTGTCTAGATAATAATCTTACCTTTAAATTTTATCAGAGGTAAATTCACTCTAAATTTTAAATTAACACAGCTACAAATGTTCTTCTGAGTGTAAAATTTACTATGTTACTTGTAAGACAAAGATAACATAATGCAGGTAGCAGGTATCATATCCTCTTAAGAGATAAGTCTTTAATGGTCAATATTTTATTCATAATTGCTTTTCCAATATTCTTTTATAAATCCCACTATAAAAATATTTTATTCATATTTTGAGAATGATTTTTTAATGTTTGTCTTGAATATTTTCCTAGATGGTTAAAAATAACTTTAAATATTGTTTTTTTTTTTAATACAGCTTGATTAATTTTTACTCATTTTATATTTTGAATTCTGAAATTTTCAGGATATAGGTATGGTACATTTTAAAGACTTTAAATGCATTTTTTTGTGATTAAATAATATGTACAGTGAAACTTTCATATTATAAAGTCTCGTGGCAGTGGCCCCAAAACCATCAGTCAAGAATGTCCATCTTTCTTTTAATGGGTAATTGGTACTTGGTAGTGGTTCCATAGTGGATGTCTAAACTTCTAAAGATTAGGTTAATTTTAACTCATAATAATGTAAATTATAAGTGTTTAATATTTTAGGTTAGTACTACTAACAATAGAAATTGTGTACACCAAATAAACTTATTTAATATTGATAAATACATGAAAACTACAATATATTATCTAGGCTAAGTATCTATGATTCTTAGGAATCAGATCAAATATTTAAAAATAATATGTTTACAATATCAATAGTCCCAAGTTGTGCGCCTTAACAGCTAGGCCTAATGATCCATCACCAAAATTCTATATCTGAATCATGTAATTTCTATTTTTCTACAAGTATCAGATAGCCAAAATAAATAAACATAATTTAGATGCATGAASTAGTAGACAATTTTAAAATGATAAATATAGATTGTTTTTGTCATATTCACATAAAATTAAAGGTAGGTTTACACGAGACGTGAGCCACGAGCGTATTTCACGATCGCGTAGTTGTGACTCACGAGCGTGGTTTCACAACTGAAATATCTAACATGGTTTGATGTTGCACGATCCAGTCGTGACAGGTTCGTGGACGATAATACCACGATCGTGAAGTACGAATTGTCTGTTTACACAAACCGTGACTCACGCTTCTAAAGACTATGATCGTGGCTCACGTCTCGTGTAAACCTACCTTAATGTTGGTTTTTAGATGCATTATTAGAGATATCCATTCACTACTTAGTATTTAACAGATAATAAGCAATAATAGTTATGTTTATAAAATTAGATAAAAAATATAATTTATTTTTATACGGATAAATTGGTACCAATTATACTTAGGTATTTGCAAAAATTAATTTTTATAGTATAAAATATATCATACATATAATTATATAATATACAAGGTAAATTATGTTATTAGTTATTACTTCTAAATACTCCTCTTCGGGCAAAACTGTCTGTTGTTTTTTTGCATCCATCTTATAGCCAATGAGTTAAGTATTTGTATGAATAAGAAAATATGTTGCAATACTTCAGATTGGAAATAAGTATTTAGTATTTAATAGAATGTACTATAATTTGACACTTTTTTAACAAACAGTATAATATGACATGATGGATATGTCTAACATTGATTTTATTTTAAGTTGTAAATTAAAATTATTGGTAAATAGTAAAATACTAAATTGTAAATTTTAATGTAAAATTATAGTATTACATAATACATATTATAAATTTATGATAATGTAATAAATAATAATATGATAAATGATAAAATAACCACGGTTATAGATGGTATAGTTTTATCGACCTATATCATAGAACATAATGGAAGCGATCAAAATCCCATTGATCACCAAAAAATATTTCTGTTGACCTTGAGCTGGAGGCTCGGCATTTATGGATGTTGGCAGCGGATGACCGGTATGATGTTATAACCGTATCGCAATGCTTAATGTATTT